CGCTCGACCATCACGTCCCGGGAGATCCAGACGGCGGTGCGCCTGCTGCTGCCCGGGGAGCTGGCCAAGCACGCCGTGTCCGAGGGCACCAAGGCGGTCACCAAGTACACCAGCTCCAAGTRAAYRGTCCTGMGRCYGCGTTKAYTAAACCCAAAGGCTCTTTTCAGAGCCACCCACATTTTCATGGGAGAACTGCAACTCAACATGACAGAAAATGGTTAGAACAATACATGATACTGGTTTTAAACTATTTGTTTTATACCTGATCCATTAAGAGCAAAGTGTAAAGCAATTAGTGTCAACATTACTTCTTAGCAACATAATTTTTTTCAAGTTTGACACCGGTTTGGGGAATAGTGAATGTATGCATAATAATGGGTAGGTCCAGAGGCTTCTGTGGCTCCAAGGACTCTTCGGGTTCTTCCTAACCTGATAATGGATCTTGTCCACAACTACTTAAATTCCCTGAGATTGCGTATTAAAAGAAGTAGGTTTCAAGGTCTTCACATTCGTGTGGGGTTCCTTAGCCGAGCCCTTCGGAAGAACAAAGGGAAGGACAAAACAGTTCCCGCTCAAGTTCCCACTCCGGTCCTCTATGCAAATGAGGGTTGTAAATAGGCTGAAGGGTTTAGTTCTGATTGGCTAGTTGCAAAACAACCCTCATTGGTAAGATCTGAATGACAAAAAGGAGCTTCTGTGGGCTGTTTATCCTAATAGGACCCTTCTTGGGAATTCAGTTTAAGTTCATCTTAAAAAGATAGGTCCTTTCCATCCCTTGTACCAAAAAAAAAAAAAAAGATAGGTCCAGATTGCTTAAGGATAGAAATGTGGAAACTCTTGTAAGAATTGCTTTTTAATTTTTGTTCTATTTATCTGTTTATCTATTTTTGGTCTCCCCATGCCTACTTCTCAATTCGTTAACTCACTGTATATGCTTCCTCCCATTTATATACTTCCCTCCCTCTTATTCCCACAAACCTCGTATACCTGTTTGTTAGATGGACTTCTTCAGCTTAACAAGTATATGCTTTAATTGGAACAGAACCACTGCCTGAGGAGGCCGAGCTTATCTGAACTCACTCTGCCCCTGACAGTGGTCACTTGAGAGAAAATGGGCGAATACCTGTGCCTCGAATTCTGAGGAACACTAGAACACCTCACCCTTAAAGTAGGAGTAACATCATGTTTAGGCTTTTTCAAGTAGCTGCTGTCTTTCTGTCCTTCCCATGGTAATAATCAAAGAGGACTCAAAAAAGTCACTATCTCCCATTTACCCTCAATAGTATATATATAGATAGAGAGGTGGAGTTAAGAATATACTACCACAAATTGTGGAACCCTGATACACTGTTTTCAGGTGAAAGAATTTGAGAAACAGCATGCTTAGGACAGTCTCTGACCATGTCCCAGCCTTCTCCTCTAAAGCAGGTCATACTAAGATTCCTGTGAGACCTGCAAACCCCAGCAGGACTCAACAGGCCTTGCTAGTTTTCCCCTAGTTTAACATTAGTTCATATTTTCTTTGTCCTGCTACACTTCTCCAAGATTGTCCACTTTATCAACCCCAGCATGAAAACAGCTTTAACAGCTTCTGCAGGTCTCTCTTTCCTTAAGAAGGCTCTCATGTCATGTAAAACTTAAATGAATGTGTTTCTCTTGTTTGTCCTTCTTACAGGCCCTCAGTCAAGGAACCCAAGATGGGTAGAAGGAAAAAATAGTTTCCTCTGTACAACATCCTATGGGTGGCCCTCTGTTCTGTGTGCTTGTTTTTCTCAGTAGAAAAACAGGCAGAACACTGAAAACATCCAGAAAAAAAACAAAATGAAAATGTTTAAGAAGGATTCTAATTCACTAGAAATAGCAAAGTACAGGATGTGTGGCTTAAACAAATGTTCTCACAATCCTGGAGGTAAAGTCTAAGATCAAACTTATAAACAGTTTTCTTCTGTAGTCTCTCTTCTTGGCTTGTAGATGGCTATCTTTTGTCTTTAGGAGGTCTTCCTCTGTGTGTATGTGTCTTAATCTCTTCACCAGTCAGATTGGATTAGGCCCACCCCAATAACCTCATTTTGCATCTTTATCTCCAAATAGAGTCATATTTTCAGATGTTAAAAACTTCAATATATGAATTTGGAACAGATACAATTCAACCCATAACAAGAAGTGTAGTAATGCTGGGCATAGGGGCTCTGAGGCTCAGGGAGGAAGATTGCAAATTCAAAGCTAGTCTCAGAAACTTAGCATGGTCCTAAGCAACTTAGCAAGACCCTGTCTCAAAATAAAAAATAAAAATAAAAAAGGCTGGGGATGTGGCTCAATGGTAAAGCGCCCTGGGTTTAAAAAAAAAAAACAGAGTGATAATGCTTCTTAATAGTACTCAAGAGTGATCTCATTATGCTCTGCCTCAGCTCTATATACACATCCAAGTTTGAAATCTTGTCTTCATTTTAAAATATTCCCTTTCCTTTTGTGCATATAGTTAATAATATATAAAATCCTACTGATCTTCTAATTTTTTAAACATGCTCTATGCTTCTGCTTAATTTTGCCCGAAAAACAGAAATATGATTGTTTGAGAGTTTGGCTAAAAATAGATTTTGTCCATAGTGAAATAGTATGCAACAACCATTAAAAACATTGTGACAAAAATAAATAGAAAATGTWTGTGGGGTAGTGTGAGGATAAGGACAATTGCCAAAACAGTGTCTTCTCAATTATAATATATTCACACACATAATATAGTTGGGAAGGAGAGGCTGTATTAGAAGGATCCATGCCAAAATGTGAATAGTACTGTTACATTCTTCTGGGTAAAAAGATTAACTGCTCTGCAGAGAACATTCTCCATTTGACGCTCTCCACAATTCCCATTTGTGTGTTCAACAGACAGTAAGTTCTACCTCAGATCTTTTCCTCTCCAAAGTCTCTGTCCTATTTTAAAAAGAAAAGTAAAATATTTAAATAATTATTGAGTAACAATTCTGTACCAAGTGTTATGCTATATCTTAATATGCAAAAATGAATGACATTTTTAAATTAAGGAAAAGTAAAGTGTCTAGCACAATAGGAAAAAACAGAATGAGAATTTTTAAACCACATAGCTCTGTCATGCTAAGCATATGTTCTTATTTGTAAACTAATGCTCCATTAAACTTGAAGAGGAACAAATGAGAAAGTTAAGCAAAACTTTGTGTAGTATGAATATAAGGGCCAAACAGGAATTTTTAAGGCAAAAAAAAAGGTGGAAATACAAAATTCTGAGCTGTGGTTACCTCTGATGGGTAGCAGAAAGATGAGATGAGGTCAAAGCAGCTGTCGGTATAATGTTATTCCTAACTGGCAACTGGATTCAAATATGGTCATCATATTATTCTTTACAACCTGTCTGTGTTTAATACTCTCTTGTGTTTGTTTGTTTGTAGGAATATAATTGTGAATAAGAACACACAAGTATATTAGTGGAAAAGTCAACTCCCTTCTACAAAACGTCAGAATCTCCGTGATTTATGAAATATTGCTAGTACTGAAATTTGGTTATAAGAAAATCACACCTGAACTTTGCAAAAATTGCTAAGATAGACTTGTTTTAAAGATTTTTTTTTTAATCAATCACCTACTGTGTCTTCCCGCCCCACCCCCCTTTCTTTTTTTATCACTAAGCTCCATCCCCATCCCTTTTTTATTTCTTTTTTGAGACAGGATTTCCTTATGTTACCCAGGCTAGCCTCAAACCTGTGATCCTGCTGCCTCAGCCTCCTGCGCTTGCTTCCGAGTCACCGAAATTATAGGCATACAGCCCACCTCGCTTTTAAAAGATTCTTCATGAATTACTGCCGCAGGCCAGCTGCAGCAAAATAACCGGGGGGTGACGAATAACTTCTGTAGATTGATGCAGCAGGAATGGCTCTTACCATCCCTTTCTGCCAGAAAAAGGAAAAGTGACTTGAATTTCATTCTGCTGACATCCTCTATGGTATTCCACCCCTGCTTTGCCTTCCAGAGGGTTATGCTTTTCTTTCCTGGTAGACTGTAGGCTCCTCAACTGCAAGGAAGACGAAAACAGGAAGTGAAGACAGATACAGAAATTGCAGTGCCAAAACAGCATGGTCACAGACAGCCTCATCCACAGGATATTTAAATACAAACCTGAAGGAAGTAAGGGAGTAACACATTCAGAGATCTGGCATGGAGGCCCTCATAGAGGGGACTATCAGTGCACAGTCCCTGAAACAGAGACATTACTTCAAGAGAGCTCCAAGGGCTATGAAGTTGGGAAAGGAATTGGGATCTGTGGCCACATGAGTAACAAGACCTTTGTGGACCAATGAAAGGACTTAGGGTTTTACGCTGGAAGGAGAGTCCCTGGAAGTTTTCCAGTGGAGAGGCAACCTGGTCTGACTTGCCCTTTATTGCAATCCATCTGGCTGCTCTGGGGGAGAGAGYAAAAGCAGGCCCAGGAGGTGAGGGTTCTGCAATCATAAGTGAGAAGGGATGAGAAGTGACAGTGGGGCTGGCTGGACCAGGCCTCAGCAATCAGAATGGGAAACGGTTGGATTCCATTTGTATTTTTAAAATAGAGGTTTTAGTACTTGCTGATGAACTGGATACAGAGTTTGAAAAGACAAAAAAAAAAAAAAAAATGATATGACTCTAGCTGACAGGTGAGAATCACCACTCACCAAATCCAAGAGGAGCTACTCTGCAGCGGTCATGTCAGAAATGCTGTCTGAGGACTGTTAAGTTGGAAGTGGCTATTGATGGACTTCAGGCACAGATGCCAAAAAAGTAGTATGGTTTCTGAGACTGGAGTTCAAGGGAAATCTGGGGGCTGTGATTTAATTTCCAAATCAACATGCAGATGATATTTTGATAGCAACAAGTAAACATCAGTTCAACAGAACCAGATTTTCATTCTCAAGATCCATGTTCACAGAGCCACAAGGATTAGTAAAGCTAGGAGAAAAGGCATTAGATATAGGACTCTTGAGCTGAGTTTCACAAATGGGTTTCAGGAAGCCCAATAACTCCCTGGAGTTGTTTGCAAAATATGTGGCGAAAGAGGTGCACTTTGGAAAAGGCATACATGTATATCACTGGATCCTCATACTAATAACCCCCATGGCTTTAAAAGGTTGAGTAAAATTTTCAATTTCATTGCCTATATTTATAACTCAAGGGTATTCTTCCACATCTATAAAGTGGTGATAATACATATTCTACAGAAGAAGCTACAGGAGAAAGAGAATCGATTGAGGAAGCACCTGTAGAACCATCAGTTAGGAATCCACCTATCACAAAGAGAGCTCATTCATTTGAACCAGGGCKCAGCCCTTGAATTGCTGCTCTTCATTATCAACCTTCTTTCCTAATAAGTTGCATCTGATCATGTAGTTTCTGTTTTCATGTCAATTACGTTTCCAACTCAGACCTTTACCCTAAACTCCAGACTCTTACATCAACTGCCCATTTCATATCTTCCTCTTAGATATTAACAACTTTTCAAACTCTGAATATACAAAATGACTAATTCTCTCTGAAACGTGTTTCTTCCTTACTCTTCCCATTTTAGTAACTGGTATCTCCATCCTTGTTGCTATGGCTAAAAAATCATTGGAATTATGGTAAATCTTTCCCTAGTCCCCTATATCAGTAGCTCAGGGTGGGGGTGGTGGAAGTGTGGATAAAAATATCTGAAATCTACCACTTTTCACAGCCTCAACCACTAACACTGAAGCCCAAGCCACTTTCATCTCTGACTTGTTGCAATAGCCTGTCTCCTGGCTTCTACCCTCCTCCTATCAGGCAATTCCCCAGACATGCAGRCAGATCACTCTGAAGTAAATCAGATTTTGTCAGTTGTCTGCTCAAAATYGTTCAGTGGTCTCCGCCTCATTCAATGTAAATGAAAGCAGTTACACACCAGCCTAGGAGGCCAGATAGGAACTACTCACTTCCATTTGCTTCCCAGACCTTGCCTCCTTCTCCTACACTCCAGGCAGTCCTACTTGGAACACTGCTTCATTTTCCCATTGTCTTTTCTCCTTTCCATTTGTCAATGGACTTTCTGTGTCGCTATCATCTAAATATTACCTTCTCCTTCACACACTGTGCCTTTCTCTGCTTCAGTAATCTCATAGCACTTAACACCATCTTACACACTTGTATTTGCTTACACACCCACACCCAATAAACTCCATAAATGAACATAAGAATATTATTTGTATTCATTTCCACCCACTGCTATAAATATCAGACCATAGAAAATAAAAGTACTGACATCCTTATGGAGGCTTCTCCTCAAACCAATGCCTTTGCTCCAATAGAGATTCATATTGACACGCAAGAATCCATCTTATAAAAAGATATTCAAAATGCCTTTGTTACCTTTTCTGATATAAAAGTAGCACCTTGCAGATCGCTTGCTATCATAAGGGAAGAAAGGCCCTTATAAATATATATCAACTTGCATTTGGGTAAACCAAACATCATGTGCCCCTCATGCGATGTACAAATTTCAAGCAAATCGCATCTACTTCACATTATAAATAAACGAAGTAAAACATTTTGCAAAGCACTTCTACCAGAAATGTCAAACTGAGGGACTAATCGCAAGCAAATCAATATCTAAAAAAATAATAAATAAAAAGCAGGAACTCCGAAGGACGGTTTAAGAGCCGAAACAAACAAAAACGTGGTTCACTCTCTGAGCCAACCATTATTTAGGATATTTTCTACGTAAACTAAATATAGACCCTGAGACTTTGGTTTAAACTAGKTAACAGTAGGAGAGTGTGGGAATTAAATAGTGCACCTAACAAGTCCACCGATGCCTGCATTTAAACATACCCTCATTTCTGTAAATAAGGATGTTTGCGTTTGCTCATTAACGTCCTATGCACGTCGTAGTCTTAGCGTCCCTCCTAATAAACCGCACTAAAACTCCAAGCCCATTGCTGGCCTGCACCTACACAGTGCTGTGCCCAGCCAGCGCTCTGTGCAGCAGAGGACGCTCCAGGAACACTGCACCAGGAGGCAGCCTCCAGACGCCGGCTCCAGTGCGGAGACCGCGTGGGGGCAGCTCCACTTACCTCTTGCACAACAGAGGACCGCCATAGCTACACACAGCGCTAAGTCAGCATATACTGGTTACAACAGAACACGACAYGCCGTGACAAAGGACGAAATGAAACCCAACACGCAACATAAATATGGGAGAGAAAGAGCTCTTTTGAAGAAAGCTGTGGGCGGCCCTGAAAAGGGCCTTTGGTTGATAAAAGCGATGGCGGCACCAGGACGCTCAGCCGCCGAAGCCGTAGAGGGTGCGGCCCTGGCGCTTGAGCGCGTAGACCACGTCCATGGCCGTGACCGTCTTGCGCTTGGCGTGCTCCGTGTAGGTGACGGCGTCGCGGATCACGTTCTCCAGGAACACCTTGAGCACGCCGCGGGTCTCCTCGTAGATGAGCCCGGAGATGCGCTTGACGCCGCCACGGCGGGCCAGGCGGCGGATGGCGGGCTTGGTGATGCCCTGGATGTTGTCCCGCAGAACCTTGCGGTGGCGCTTGGCGCCGCCCTTGCCCAGGCCTTTSCCTCCTTTMCCGCGACCAGACATGGCTAAAGCGCTAAGGAAGTGTCCCAAAAGCGGGAAAGCAGAGAAGCAATTCCCTTATATGCACGGATTTCGGACCTGATTGAAGACTGAAGACGCGGGGCTTTTCGCCCCGCCTTTCAGAGCTCAGCCCAGATGACGTCACTAACATCCGGGGCCGCCGCCGGAGCATGCTCTTTACGCAGGTCTCTCAGGCGGGCTCTTTGTCCCCAAAGGGGAGTTTTCCCACGTTTCAACAACTACGCCAAACCAAAAAAATATACACCGCATTTAGTGGTTATCGCGTGCTTTAGAACAGCTGCGCAGGAACTTTCACCTCGGACCAGAACTGCAGTCTCTGGAATGCGGAAGCCACCTTTGTCCCCGTTACCGCTCCTCACTGGAGAGAAAGGRAACACGCTCGATTGGCTGCATCGCCACGCCAAAGAAAACCTGAACAAACGTGTCTCCTCCCCGAAGGCAGAGGCACGGCCGGTTACTGACTCGCGGCATAATGCCCTCGGGAGTCCCGGGTTCCATTCCCGACCTACCCTGCTCCCCCTGCTTATTAAAGTCTGACCGCCCTTTGCGTCTGCACCCAGTAACTCACCCGTGTGCAAGTGTCTGCGTTTCTCTTCTCCTAGTTTTGTCTTTGATTMTGTAAGCAGCACTATTCCAAACAATCTGCATCCTGTGATCCAAAGGCGGTTTCTCTCAAGTCGGTTTAATTGTAGGTGGGCTGAACATATAGCTTGTAGACAGCCTTAAGAGCATTATTAGAAGGCTGCCYTGACGCACAGCAGAGTGGCGCAGCGGAAGCGTGCTGGGCCCATAACCCAGAGGTCGATGGATCGAAACCATCCTCTGCTATATGTAATTTTTTTTCTCTTTTTCCTTCTTTCCTAATATAAAAATCTTCTAGACTAGTTTCACAATAACTAAGGAAAATGAATCTAGATTTTTAGAGAGGAAAAACTGTCCTGAAATTAAGAACATCTCTCAGGAAATAAATTTGAACTATTTTGCAATCTTTGCAGATAAACAGAACATTTTCATGGACACCCAAGTGTCCTCTCATAATAAATCAGATTTCCAGCTGCCAAAATGGCCGTGCCATGACAATTCTTTGTTGCCTCCGAAGCGGAAGAAAATGTTGAAATACACTGAATGCCAAGGACCAGGACGGGGTAGGAACACAGGAATGTAGTTTTGTTTGGTTAGTTAGGGTTTTGGTTTTGGTTTT